GGTGAGCAGCTATCTGTGGCACCAAGTCAAGTGGGTCCAACTTACCCTCTATCTAAGGTGTTTCTGTCAGGCAGGCCCGCGGGCTATCTATGAAAGAAAATACCAGGCATGCCATTGTGATTGACAAGACCCAAAAGCTTATGTGTCAGGAAGACTGGCATCCTAGTCAGTGGAATAAATAGCATATCAGAGTTCCACATTTGGAAAATTTCATTTCTTAGGCTTTACATCTTCATTTAGTTTGGGGTCATCTGTCTTAAATATCTGAATTATTTCCCTAGGAGACACTATTTCCAACCCAAGTGCTGCAGGAAACCTCATTAAGTCTTTCTAGATCCTTCTAGTTTATGCAATCTCTCCAGCTCTGGTCATTCCTAATACATTCACTTTTTTAAAAAAGAATTATTTTATTTAACTTTATTATTATTATTTTAATTTGACCAGAGAAAGAGAGAGGGAAAGTGATAAGGCAGTCCATGAGGTCCAGGACTCAAACCAGTTGGCCATATGGGAGTCCAGTGCTACCATGGCACATGTCAGCCCCTAAGGTTTTTGCCATAGAGCATGTGTACTCACCGGAGAGACAGAATCAGTGAGAGGCAAAGTGAGAAATCACCCCCCAGGGAGGATGGCCACACTATAATCCCTTCTCCTCCACTCTCCTCTCAGGATTTTGGGTGTGCACACACGCACACATACCTGGCAAGCTTCAAGCCGCTGGATCCGCAATTCAAACCTGTGGAGTTAGTCAGGTGGGATCCAGTGCCTTAACCACTATGTCACCTGCTGGCCCCAATAATATATCACTTCTTCTTTTTTTTTTTTTTCGCTATAGGGCGCATGCGCTTGCCAGAGAGAGACATAGAGACAGAAAGCGAGAAATCACCCCCCCCCAGGGGGGAGGGTCAAGCCGCAATCCCCTCTCCTCCAATCTCCTCTCGGGATCTTGGGCACGCATGCACATGCTCCTGGCGTGAGTTCTAAGCCACCGGGTCTGGGACACAAACCACGGTTGACTACGTGGGAATCCAGCAACATAGACATCACGCTAACTGCTGGTTCCCAATAATACATCACTTCTAAGATTACATGACAGGACTATGAGTTTTGTCTTGATAGGGTAATCAAATGTCCTAGTTTACTTGGGACTGAGAGGTTTCCTGACATGTAATTTTTTAGTGCAACACCTAGGAAAGTTTTGGGCAAATTGGGACAAGTTGGTCACACTAGTTGGACTGGTCTCTCTCAGATTATTTACTCTAGAAGAAACCAGATGCCATGTTGTGAACCGTTCTAAAGAGGTCCACATGACAAAAAACTGAGGGAGACAAATTTGGTCAACAGCCAACTACAAAATGAGTCTTCTATAAAATAGGCCAAGAAGAATCACCAGCTACCAACAACCACATGGGTGGAGTCTGAAAGCAGATTCTCCTCCATGTAAGACTTCAGATGAGGTTTCACTCATTCTACAGCTTTTTTCTTTTTTTTTTGAGAGGTTTTTTTGATAATACATCACTTCTAAGATTACATGACAGGACTATGAGTTTTGTCTTGATAGGGTAATCAAATGTCCTAGTTTACTTGGGACTGAGAGGTTTCCTGACATGTAATTTTTTAGTGCAACACCTAGGAAAGTTTTGGGCAAATTGGGACAAGTTGGTCACACTAGTTGGACTGGTCTCTCTCAGATTATTTACTCTAGAAGAAACCAGATGCCATGTTGTGAACCGTTCTAAAGCCATTACGCTAACTGCTGGTCCCTCATTCTATAGCTTTTATGAGAGACCTTGACCAGAACCATCCAGCTATGTTGGCCCTAATTTTTTTTAACTGTTTCAATCTCTTCCATGAGTAAGACAGAGAGACAGCACCCCCTAACATGATTTGATACTGTGATCCATCCCTAACCCTTGCCAGCCTCAGATAAAGAGCACATGTATGCCTGATATACTCAGGGAGTTTTCCTGACCTGAACCTAAAACCTTCCCATATAGGTAAGTCTCACAGAGTGTCAGACCCCTGGCCCTAAATTTCTGACTCACAGAAACTGTTACACAGTTCTGGTGTTTATTAAATTGCTAAATTTTGTGGTAATTTGTTATGCAGAAGCAGATAACTAATTCTGCAGATCAATGAAAATGAACGGAAGTGGTAAGTTGGGTTTTCAGGGCCTACTACAATTGGGTGATTTTCTCTAGCAGCTCTAATTAACTCCAGATCATGTGTTTCTCCTCTTTGTATGTCAGTGACATACAATGTTGAACACTGTGGCTTGGTTTTTGTATTTTTAAAAATATTTATTTATTTTTTAATTTATTTGTTGTGATTTTCAAGCCATCAGATCTGGAACTTGAGCCACCCGTGGGAATCCAACACCTTAACTGAGTTTAAGCCACCGGGTCCGGGACTCGAACCGCGGTCGACTACATGGGAGTCCAGCGACATAGCCATTACGCTAACTGCTGGTCCCTCATTCTATAGCTTTTATGAGAGACCTTGACCAGAACCATCCAGCTATGTTGGCCCTAATTTTTTTTAACTGTTTCAATCTCTTCCATGAGTAAGACAGAGAGACAGCACCCCCTAACATGATTTGATACTGTGATCCATCCCTAACCCTTGCCAGCCTCAGATAAAGAGCACATGTATGCCTGATATACTCAGGGAGTTTTCCTGACCTGAACCTAAAACCTTCCCATATAGGTAAGTCTCACAGAGTGTCAGACCCCTGGCCCTAAATTTCTGACTCACAGAAACTGTTACACAGTTCTGGTGTTTATTAAATTGCTAAATTTTGTGGTAATTTGTTATGCAGAAGCAGATAACTAATTCTGCAGATCAATGAAAATGAACGGAAGTGGTAAGTTGGGTTTTCAGGGCCTACTACAATTGGGTGATTTTCTCTAGCAGCTCTAATTAACTCCAGATCATGTGTTTCTCCTCTTTGTATGTCAGTGACATACAATGTTGAACACTGTGGCTTGGTTTTTGTATTTTTAAAAATATTTATTTATTTTTTAATTTATTTGTTGTGATTTTCAAGCCATCAGATCTGGAACTTGAGCCACCCGTGGGAATCCAACACCTTAACCACCATGCCACTTGCTGGTCCCTTTGTTTATTTTTAAGCTGTATCTTTTGGTAAAATAAATAAATTTAATTTAATTTAAAAACACAAAGATTAGCTTTCTTTTTCTTTCTTTTTTTTTTTTTTTTTTTTTTTTTTTAGTAATTTGCCTAAAGGCACATGTACTTGCTGAAGAGAGACAGAAAGTCAGAAAGCAGACCCCTCACCCCACATGGAGGGGTGATCAGGCTGCAATCCTTTCTCCTCCATTTCTCTCTCCCTCCTTTATGAACACACCTGGTATGTTTTTCAAGCTGTTGGATCCAGGACTTGAACTACACATTCGGCTATATGGGATCCAGCCACCTTTACCATGCCACCAGCTAGCCCTATGAATCTTTCTTACTGAACATTTTTATCATAAACATTTCAGTTGGCATGAAGGTAACCTGTCACTATTTCGGCTATGAAAAGCACAACTTTTAGATGCCTTTATTGCTTTGATAATTTCTCAAATATTTAGAAAGAAATTTCATGAATGTTATATTAGAAGGCATTCTTTTATACTTTCTTCCTCCCCTAGGATTTTTTTTTTTTTGTTAGTTTTGGTATATGGTATGTATACTTTCCAGAGAGAGACAGAGATGGAGATAGCATGAGAGGGAAAGTGAAAGAGAAAGGATGGCCACACTGCAATCCCATCTCTCCTCCATTTTCCTCTTGGAATTTTGGGCATGCACATATGTATGCCAGGTGTATTTTTCAAGCCCCCTGGGAATCGAACCTTTCAGTTGGTCATGTGGGATCCAGGTGCTCACGCCACCTGCTGGACTTGCTTTGTCAGAGGGTGTGCTCACCTGCCAGAGACAGAGAGACAGGAAAAGGAGAAAGAGAAAGCACCCCTCAATGGGGTATGGTCACACCACAATCCCTCCCTGGTTCTAAAATGGCACATAAAAGCCAGTTAATTGCAAAATTTGTTGTACTTTTATCTTTTGACATTGGTTAACTCTATATTTAACTTGTTGAGGAATTGCAGTTATTTTCCATAGGGACTGGACCACTTTACATTCCCACCTGCAGTATATGAGGCTCCTAATTTCACTGTATCTCCCAAACTTGTTATTGTCTGACTTTTAAAAAATTATAACCATCTTCTTATATACATATATTATTTGGAAATAACTAGACTTAAAGAATTGTACATGGGAACCAGCAGTTAGCATAATGGCTGTCGCTGGATTCCCACGTAGTCGACCGTGGTTCGTGTCCCGGACCCGGTGGCTTAAATCTCACGCCAGGCCGTGTGCGTGCGTGCCCAAGATCCCGAGAGGAGAATGGAGGAGAAGGGATTGCGGCGTGACCATCCCCCGTGGGGGGGTGATTTCTCGCTTTCTGTCTCTCTGTCTCTTTCTGTCTGTCTGGCGAGCGCACGCGCCCTTTAGTGAAAACCTCTCAAAAAAAAAAAATTGTACAGATAGTAGGAAGAGTTCCAGTGTATCTTTCACTCAGCTTCCTCTAATGGAAGAGTACCCATATTTTGAAAAAAAAAACAAGACATTTAGATTTGGTCCTAGTTGGCTGAGGTGGGTATTAGGAGTTTCAACCAGTCCAAGCAAACGTGGTTTTAAATAGAGGAGTCTGAAGTCGGCGAGAAGAGAGTCACCTCAAAGTGCCCAAGGTAAGAAAACCAGGAGGTGGAGTTCGCGGAGTCCAAAGCTAAATCCTCTTAGCAAGGGTCAAGGTCGGGGAGGAGGGGACTTCCTGATGACCCCACCACTGGTGGCCTCATCACACTTGCATCGTCTGGTTGTTTTCTAATCCACTGGGCTGTTTCCTCTCCATCCGGACTGTACACTCTTGGGACGTTCACACACTGCTTTAAAAGTCTCTCACAGCGTCCACCCTTACGCGAAAAGCACTTACTGAAACCACCTCGGTCGTCAGCTTCCGGTAGCGCGGCAGATAAGCTCGACCTGAGAACGCACCGCCAAGCGACACGTCCAGCGCCACACCCAGGCCCGCCCGGGCGCCGGCACGCACTGGCCACTCAGGGGCCACTTCTGCACGCCCAGACCCGAGAGACGGCTCCCGATTGGCCAGGCGTGCACGAGGGCCCGCCTTCGAAGGATGCCGGGCCCCCACTCCTCCCATCTCCCCTGGGCCGCCGCCTCCGTGACAGGCCTCCGGGCTGAGCGCGGGAAGTGGCTTGCGGTCGGTTCTCGGCAGGCGAGGGCCGTAGTGAGAAGGCCCTCCTACGGCGAAGCGAGGCCAGGCCAGGAGGCTGGGCTCGGAGCGTCTCGAGTTCCCCGCCAGGGGGGGGCGGAGCCGTGTTGGCTCCCGCCCCGGAAGCGGAAGTGCAGGAGTCGCCGGGTACCGTCCAGTGTGAGCCTGGCCCGTGCGCCTGCCGTTCCGCCCGCGGGTCACTTCGTGCCCTCTCTTCTGCTAGTGTCCCGCTCGCCGACCCCACCATGCTGTCTCTAGACTTTCTGGATGATGTGCGGCGGATGAACAAGCGGCAGGTGAGTTTGGCCGCCTTCTGTTTGTCCTTCGACACTGCCGACTGCAGGGCCCGGCAGACCCCTTGGGCCCGGCAGACCCCTTGGCCCCGGCGTGAGGGCCTGAGCGGATTTGACGCCCGGATCGTTCCCACCTTGGACTCTGCGGCCGGAGGCTGCTTTGTCTGCTCCCTATTTTTAGCCCCCACCTGGTTCCGGGACTGCCTGGGGTGAAGCGGTGTCTTAACGTCCCATTCCTCCTCCTGGGGCTGGGAACGAATAGAAGCCGTAGGGCGTTTTGTCAGTGGGAGTTGGAGTTGCTTATTATTTTAGGCAGCGTAGGACGGCATACTGAAGCTTCTCCAGTTGAAGCGATTCCTGATGGAATAGCAGAGACGAGGTTTAGCAGTTCGCTGCTACCCCGGCTTCTGGGGCGCTAAGGGAAGGCGACTAGAGGCCTTACAAAAGCCGTTTTGCTGCTTTCAGCCCTCAGCCAGCTGCACCAACTTTAAGTTAGACCGCTCAGAACTTGGAGTTGGAACAGTTACTCAGAGTCCACTTAGCAGTGAGGAGGCGACTGCCTTCAGAATATGTTTTATCATCCAAACTTAGTGGCACAGGGTCTTGAGATTTTGTCTCCTGATTTTGCTCGTAGGTCCTCTGTCTTGATCTCCTCCATAGTACTGAGGGAGTACTGAGAGTACTGTCGTAATTATTTAGTCATTAGAAAAGATTGCTCCTTTTTGTCTTCTGCACCAGGTGCTTTTTCGTCGTTTTGGTCACATTGGATCATTTTACAGTATTTTGTTATGATTATCTTGATGTCATTATTAAAGTTTATTTCTTGGACTTGTACTTTGTATTTTTTTTTTTATTTATTTTTTTGAGAGGTTTTTGCTGTAGGGCGCGTGTGCTCGCCAGAAAGACAGAGACAGAAAGCAAGAAATCATCCCACCCACCCCCTCACCCACGGGGTGGGGGACGTATAGCCACACCGCAATCCCTTCTCCATACTCCTCTCCGGGATCTTGGGCATGCAGGCACATGCACCTGGCGTGAGTTTAAGCCACTGAGTCCGGGACTCAAATCGTGCTGGCCTACATGGAAGTCCAGCGACTTAGCTATTACGCCAACTGCTGGTCCCGGATTACCCACTCTAATGGCTATTTGGATAGCAGATTGTTTTCTGGATTTTGTTCATTCTTTCCTTTCTACCACGCTAAGTATAATTCTGCCGGCCCAAGTATAACTCTTCTTTTTTTTCTTTCTTTCTTATTTACCTTTACTTACTTACTTACTTATTTATTTTACTTTGACCAGAAAGGGACAGAGTGAGAGAGAGAGACAGAAGGTGAGAAAGACAGCTGCCGGGTCAGGGACTCAAACTGCAGGTAGCCATGTGGGAATCCAGCGCTCTTAACTACCACGCCACCTGCTGGCCCCAAGTATAACTCTTCCTTCTTTCTTTCTTTTCTTTCTTTCTTTCTTTCTTTTTTTTTTTTTTGAGGGGTTTTGT